TTCTTTTCTTTTGCCATAAAAATTAAGTAATGACCCGAAAGCACCGTTCAAATGAAGTGGTAGAGAAGGAAACAAAGCCTGAAACATCAGAGGGACAAGAAATCTGCACTCAATGTTTATGTATTGAGGTGCTGCTTGTGTACCTGGCAAAGAAGCTGAGCCATAGGTTCCCGAGAAGTCTCCCTCGTGCTGTCCAGGCAGGCATGGACCCACTGGTAAGGTCAGCTACAGCTGCCTTCTTGGGGTGCTCCTTAATTCATCATCTCTTCGTTAGACTATCTGCTGGCTAACTTGCAGCACTGAAGCTCACAGGACTTTTAATGGGTTTAGCCTCTTTTTGCGTGAGGGTTGCATGAAATGTATCCGTACATCCTGCCTGGCCCTTTGCTGATGCATCCGTCTGATGCTGGCAGAGAAAATGTGCGAATGACCAACCCAGCGTACAGGGAGTCAAGGCTGGGAGCTTAGCCCTGAGCTTCCCTGGTTAAGGTTGGACAAGCTGAAACTGTTTCTGATATCAGCATGTTATTTATTACGCTCCTCAGTGTGCTCCAAGTGGCCTTGGCTCTCGCTCAAGGCTGAGCGAATCCTCTGCAGGGGAGGCAGGACCAGCCACGGCACACGTTCGGCCGTACAAGCCTGTTTTTCCCTTTTGAGCCACGCCCGGCTCTGTCCATCCTGCCCTGTCTTTGCAATGGATGCGTAACATGCCTCAGGACAGCAAACCCTTATGGGAATGGAGCCACGTGGGATCACAGATATTGGGGGGGGACAGGAGAAGGAAATATCTGACTGAGACTCCTTTTTTTTCCCCACTCAGGCATAGCAGTCTCCAGCCAGGCTAATGACGTGGTGGGGTCTGTGCTGCTGCAGCAAAGGACCAGCACAACAGCCAGGACCAAGCAAAGGGGAGCCTGCAGGGCTCTGGGGAACCGTGCCGCCGGCCCACATGCTGTCTCTGTCATGCTGCCTAACAGATGCCCCCTCCCCTCCGTAGTTTTGGGAGGGAAACAGCTAAAGAGCTTCGTTGTTCTCCTTCCGTGAGTGCGGCACATGCTCTCTCCTGGGCAGAGGAACCACAGCTACTGAACACGTTCCCGGTCTGTCCGTTAGGGAACGGTGTTATCCCAGAGGCACAGCACAGCGCTAATCTGATGGAAACACTGCATGTACCAGAAATGCTGCAGCGATTAAAAGAAAATCCCCAACGTTCCTGCTTAATGCTGGACCTCTGCCAGCAAAGCCGAGGTAAATCCATTCCAGAGCTGCTGCACAGGCAGAGGAAGGTTTTCACTCCAGTGCCACCCCCTGCCATGGGCAGGGACACCTCCCACCAGCCCAGGTTGCTCAAAGCCTCATCCAGCCTGGCCTTGAACCCCTCCAGGGATGGGGCATCCACAGCTTCTCTGGGCAACCTGGGCCACTGCCTCACCACCCGCACAGGAAAACATTTCTTCCCAATGTCTAGTCTAAGTCTCCCCTCTTTCAGCTTATACACGTTATCCCTTGTCCTGTCGCTACACCTCTCCTACCGGTGCTTTTGGGTGGCCCATGACCACTGTGGCAGCAAGATACCCCCTCGTGTCAGCTGCCCTTGGACAACCACACTGCTGCAGAGGAAAGCTTTGAACTTCCCTCCATCTCTTTTTCTTACAACCCTGAAGCAGGAGGGGCTGGGTTGGCATTAATGCCGTGCTATAAATCTCTTTTCGCTCAGTGCAATCAAAATTATTGGGGCTCAAATATTTTACCAGCGTAAAGGCTTCGCTGCCTTCTCTAAGCAAAGACAGCCGTTTGCATTCGAACATTGGATGGGTGGCGAATTGCTTGGTGTTCCTTTAAGAACAGCCGGCAGCCTAGCTGATGAAATATTATTATTCATCTCAGCTGTTCTCAGGAGAGAAGCAGCAGGTTTTCACATCCACTCCTTTAGGCACGTTGGCAGTGCAGCTTTCTGCTCCTGAGCTCCTGCGGATGGCCAGGCTGGGGGACAGCTTTCCCTTCCACGAGAGCAGCAAGGTCATTTTGCTGCTGATGCAGCGCATCCAGAAACACCATCACCCCAACAACTCACCAGCCCGCGACATCCATCTGCCTCACCGAGCCCCTTCTCTCTCAGCATCCTCTCTCACACGGATGGAAGTCTCACAGCGGCTTGTGCAATGCCATTAATTCTCACAAAGCCACATCATGCCAAGGAGCTCATCCTCTCAGGTCCTGCTGCTCCTCTTATTCCCAGTTTATGAGTTTACAAGCTACAGCAATGCTTTTGCCCACAACCCTGCACCTACCTGAGCACATCCTACTTCTGCCACCAGTCTCCCCAGCTGCTCCTCCCAGTAACAGCCAGCTGCGTGTCCTTTGCACGTGCCGCTTGCCACCACTCCGGCTTCTTGCCCAGTGCTACCGAAAACCCTCGCTGAAAGCGTGTCCAAGACTAACCTCTGATGTCCTCTTCTAGCCTTCTACCAGCACCTCCCATCTGCCAGTTCGGTCCCGAAGTACTGAGATTCTCTTTTGCACATTCTTTTGCTTTCCTTTCTCGCCTACCCCAGAAATGCCAGGCCAGCCCGGCACACCTGCCTTTCGCCCTGCTAAGGTTTTTTTATCCCTGTTTGAGTTTGTTCTTTTGAAGTTTGTCCTTTCCCCACCTGGAACCGACACCACACAAGGGTCTGTTTCTCAGCAGGAGGCAGCAATCCTGAAGTTCAGTGCAGCGCTGCCTTCCACGTGCGCAGAGATCCCACTGTACTAAGCTGTCCCATTTCTGCTTTCACTGCAGACAGCAACATTTTTTGCTTCTGTGCAGCCCCTTTTTTTCCTGCCTTACTCCATTCTCAGGGCCCCATCATTTCCCTCCAAGCTTGCAGAAAGCAGTCCCAGGGGAGGAAACGTGGAGCACACGGAGCTGGTGCCGTTCTCCTCTGTGCAGGAGGTGCGGTGAAATACTTACTAGATAACGAGGCAGCAAGAAGTGGTGACCTGAATGCTTTTCCCACGGAGGCAGACTGCTGTTTCCCTATTATCAGTTTCTGGCAGCATCAGCGCCCTTCACCTTTTTGATGGGATCCAGCCAATACCGGAGCCAGAGTAGGATACTTGCAAACCTTCCGAATGACAATCGACTTCTAACACTGCTTAGCAACCTGCACGAAGGGGAAGAAAGTTACTCCCATTGGGTTTTAAACTCCTGAAACAAAGCAATTCCAAATGGATGCTTTATATTCACTGGTTCTTTTTAGAATTATGAGGTCAGAAAAGACCAGCAATGAAATAAAATGAAGCTCAATTTTGTCAGAGGAATGGAACGGATTTGCCTGACAAATCTGCAACTCATAATCAGTTTAAGTCACTGAAGACCGCGGTGATTCCCACTGGTATTTATAATATTTCTTGCAGTACGTATTGCCAAATCTATCTTCCACAGGCACTGACACTTTTGGTAGTTGTCAGGCAGAACCACTTTGGTTCTTTTGCTTGGTGTGGGTTTTTTTTTTCTTTTTAAAACCTGGACACTTCTTCCAACAGCTGTTCTTTCTAGACATACTTGCTATTCATGTCACACTGTTTCCAATTTTTAAAACTGAAAGCCAACTCCAACTGTGCTGAAGGAAAGGACAGTGGGCTGTGAAACTCATCCAACCCCACTTGCTAACAGCCAGCAGAAGCGTGCTTGCAGTCTCCCAGCACAGCATGCCCTCGCAGCGGCGAGCAGAGCAGCAATCTCTGGGTTCGGGGGACTGCAAGAAACACTTTGTACCTTGCTTACGCGCTAAATATCTCTGTCTCCATATGGGCGGCTTAAACCACTCTGCATTCTTTTTGCTCTCCGCTTTTAAAAATGCATGCAGACGTGTTCAATATCCTTGCTAAAGCTTTCCGTGAAATGCAAATCTCTGTGTGTGAATGTTAAATAGAGCTTTTAGTGATGAGCCTAGAGAAAAAAAAAATATCCTCAAGCCTAGGATGCAACAGAAAGGCAGCCTACTGTATTCCGGGTTCAAGATCTTTAAGTTGTACTTTATAAAGACACGTTTTAATAAATTAACATTTATTGAAAATATCACATTAGCCTTTATTTTTCTTCTTTGCCCCAGCGCAAAATGAAGATATTTAACATGTAAATTGTAATAACAGAACTGCAAGCAGCTTCATCAAATGAAAGATCAAATACACTTATAATACGATCAGACTCTTTAATCTGGTGGGGATAGGGAACAGTGGGCAGAAGGGAAGAATCTGTTTTAGGGTCTGATACACAACCTATCTTGTTTTAACATGTGTATCTTATTAAAAGCCACTGTTTAGCAGTATAACATGCATCTAAAAATTGAAAATACGGGGCATCATCCATTAAATATACTATTTGTAGACAAGAATCATTAGGGATGGGTAAAGGATTAAAATAAAAACAAAGCACCAGGGCTCCACAGCCCTCCTGGAATAAAGAATTTTGCAGGGAGAGCGTAATGCCGTTTGTCAGTGCTCTATCTACTGTGACATGCTGTAAGGACTAGCGTTTGGTCCATTTCCTGCATGTTTGCTGTAGAAATGCACTTCTTTGGAAAAGCAACCGTCAAGGCTTTGCAAAGGCAGGGCTACTTCAGACACCCAACTTATTGGCCTGGGTAAGGACAACTTTCAGAACAGGCATGAAAGCAGAGGTCTCGCTGAAGTTGCTGGTGCTGACGATGTGCGTGTGGATGTTCAGTCCTTCCTGGTAGTTGCGGCTTTCGATGCTCTTCACAATGTTGTGCAAACCGCTAATGATGGTTGGAGAGAGCTGTAAGGAAAGGAAGTTCAGCAGAAAAAAAAGAAACCAGTGCATCCACTAGTGCTAGAAAAACAGAAATCCTTTGGCCCTCAGAAAGGTGCAGGAGCTAGTTCCTTTCTGTAACGACAGCCATCTCCAGAGCTGCACCACACCGGGAACAGCCACTGGGAAGCCCAACAGCAGACCTCAACGAGGAGCTACCTTCTCTGCAGTGCTGCAAACCCCTGCAAGCCTTCAGAGCCAGCCCCTGGCCTGCATCAGCAACAGTGTGGCCAGCAGGACTAGGGCAGGGATTGTGCCCCTGGACTCGGCACTGGTGAGGCCGCACCTTGAATCCTGGGGTCAGTTTTGGGCCCCTCCCCACAAGAAGGACATTGAGGGGCTGGAGCAGGTCCAGAGAAGGGCAACAGAGCTGGGGAAGGGTCTGGAGCACAGGGCTGACGAGGAGCGGCTGAGGGAGCTGGGGGGGTTCAGTCTGGAGAAGAGGAGGCTGAGAGGAGACCTCATCACTCTCTACAGCTGCCTGAAAGGAGGGTGCAGTGAGGGGGGTGCTGGGCTCTGCTCTAAAGGAACAAGTGATGGGACAAGAGGAAACGGCCTCAAGTTGCACCAGGGGAGGTTTAGGCTGGATATTAGAAAAAATGTCTTCACTGCAAGAGTGATGAGGCATTGGAACAGGCTGCCCAGGGCAGTGGTGGAGTCACCATCCCTGGAGGGGGTCAAGAAACGTGTAGATGTGGTGCTTGGGGACATGGGTTAGTGGGTTGGGTGGGGTTGGGGTGTCAGTTGGACTTGATGATCCTTGAGGTCTTTGCCAGCCTGAATGATTCTAGGATTCTACGGAGGCGGGAGACCTGCTGTGACAGACTAAGGCACATGAAAAACCTAGCTATGATGCCTTTGGGGGAAAAGTTAATTGCTCAGCAAAGATAGCCTGACAATGGCAAGATCAGACCACTCTGATCCTAAAGTACTAAGAGATCTAAGCCCTGTCCCTTTTTCTGCCACAGACCTCCTGGAAAGCTTTCGAAAAATTACACAATCTTCAGAACTGCTTGCACATCTGCCTTCCAGTAAAGTCAGTGAGCCTCCAGGGTGTAAATCTGGAGTTTTTTTAGACCCCAGGCTGTGTGTCCCTCACACTCCTTTGCTGGGAGCAGGTGAACTTGCCAGGTTGTCTCATTCTGCCAGGAGCTGGGGAGAGGGACTCTCCTGATGCATTCAGCCAGTGTCTCTGCTCTCTGGCTTAGCACAGCACCATATAAAACCCATGACATGATCCCAAACACACTGTCAAGTCTCCACAGGCACTTGGGGCCAAGCACTCTACCTAGCTGCTTCTGGGAAATGCATGGCAACATACAAGAAAGGGATTCAAAGGATGCTTCCAAAGAAAGATCAAGCACCTGCTACTTATTACAGAGGGGTCAGTCCACACCACCAACGAAGTTCTTGGCTATACCCGCAATATTTGATGGGGGAAGAGAACACAAAACCAGAACTTACTGTCTGTTCCCTAAGTTTGTCGTATAGAGACTCCAGACGCTTATTTGCATCATCTAGTTTCCTCTTGGTTTGCTGCAAGAGAAAAAAAAATCCCATTAAAACACAGTGATTTTACCACCACAACACTGATTTGGTACCACTGCAAAAAGGTCCACCCAGCACATTCAACAATATTTTCCTAACACATCATTTGAATTATTTGCTTTGTACTTTTCACCCCTGATTTTTCTAGGAAACCAAAGCAGTATGACTGTAGTTTGTCCACGTGTAAACGCTCTAGTTAGCTAAAGAGAATATGAAACTGTAGAGGTGCATCCTGAAAGCCACTGGTCATTTGCAAAACCCACTGGTATTAGCTGATATGGCAAGCGACAGAATTATGAGCTGCAGTAGGAATTCTTTTTCTATGGCTCACTGGCAAAGCATAATGATATCTGGATAAAGTTATTACTGGAATCAAGTATCCAGCAACATCAATGAGAGCTTTAGGACACACACAGTCACTGAAGTCTACGTATGTACAGCTCAGTCATCTTTTAGGGCAAATCCTAATCATATTTTTCATTATATGATTAGTAAAACCAGGAGTTTGTTTGAAAGTTTTTACTGTCAACAGAAAAACTAATAACCTAACCCACACAGGCCAGACAGATCCTTTGAGCTTCCATAATTTTCTACAAACCACCCATTGATGTGTCTAGGATTATTTTGCCACCAAAGGCTCTTAAAATAACCCCAAGTCTATTCCACCTGGAGTGCCACGGCAGCTGCTGGAGAAATGCATCTCTATCCACTTTTTTTTTTTTTAAACAAGCAGCTACAGAAATGGAAGGTTTTTCTCCAGAATAGTAAAACAGTAATAAAGCAGCAAGGTTACAATTACAGAAGCACAAAAAACAGAAGACAGCCAACAGCAGAAGAAACAGCACAGGAGTATTGGAACTTCCTCCTAAATCAGTATGCAACATTAATCCGTCGTCACTGATGATACTGCCATTTCCCCTGGCAACTGGAAAAAAGTTTTTCTGTAACAAATAATTTTCAAGAGAGAAAATAATGCCCACAGGAATGCTCTAGCTCAGGTGTAAAGACAGACTAGTAACTGCCTGCTGTGCTAGAATTAGGGAAAGCTGTTTGGATGGCAAAGGGCACAGGAGAGAACTCAGCTCGTGGATCTCCCAGGTCAGATGTGGAAAACCCCTCAGCAGCAGTTATCCTGTCAAGGCACTGGAACAAGTAAGGAAAAAGTACCCAGGAGAAGCAGATAAGAAACTGGATAATGCTTTTGGACTTGCTAACTCTCTCAGATAGGGCAACATGTATAAGCTGAAAGGGGGGAGACTGAGATGAAATATCAGGAAGAAATGTTTTCCTGTGCGGGGGGTGAGGCAGTGGCCCAGGTTGCCCAGAGAAGCTGTGGATGCCCCATCCCTGGAGGGGTTCAAGGCCAGGCTGGATGAGGCTTTGAGCAACCTGGGCTGGTGGGAGGTGTCCCTGCCCATGGCAGGGGGTGGCACTGGATGGTCTCTGAGGTCCTTTCTGAGTCAAACCATTCTGTGATTCAATGATCATTTGTTTCAAAACCTGTGAAAAGACATACATGCTAGTTTCATTTTACAGATGGCCAACTAGAAAAAAAGAGGAATAAATAAATCCTGTTCCAGCCCCTAAGCAGGAACTCTCGTCATGTTCCCATTTTTCCCTTTGGAATGTAATAACTGAGTAGTGTCTGCGTTTGTTCTGACAATAACTGGTGGATACAGTCAGGACAGTGTCTCAGTGCTGCAAACACTTGCTCTGCCTAGGAAAATCAGAGAGACTTAACAAGAAGAAAAATGTGTTGCAGAGCATAAAAGCAATCCCTGGGTGCAGATGTGGATGGAATGCTTTTGCCTTCTCTGTGTCTGGGAGAAGGGGCACTCAGAGGAAGAAAAGGTCAAAGGCTCTGTGCAGGATCTGACTTTTATCCCTGCACTCTACAACTGAATCTTTAAAAGAAAGGATTTCCATTGATCAAATGCTACTGGATCTTATGGGGTCTGTCCAAAGAAAGGTCTAAGGTCTCAAAAAGCTTCTGTACAGGAGTGCGTGGATGAGTCCACCCTGAAGCTGCTGGGCTGAGACCCAAAGGGGAAAGAAAGAGTAAATACATGCAAATGTCAACTCTAAACGACAGAGCCATCTGAAATGGTACAGCAGATGCAGAAGTGACACCGAATGACCAATATACTCCTACAGTGCCCTCAGCTCAGCTGTCTGCCCTTGTGAGCCTGTGCTGCTGAGCAAGAACATTCAGTGCACAAAGGTCTCTGCGTGCCACCAGCCTGTCTTTCATCATAGACCTTTCAGCATGTGGTAGGCAGGAGCTGAACAGTCAGCATGTGGGCTTTAGGGTAGTGAGTTATTTACTGACCACTGGAAATAAATGGGAAGCTGTGAGATGGATGGGTTGTTTACAAAATAGTGACTGCCACAGGAAATGGTTTTGCTCGTAACCTTCCACTTCTCTACTACCCACTGTTTCCCTTGGAAATCAGTTTGTTATCAGAAATCACAGATCAAAATCTGAGGCATGCACTCAAGTATGTGAGCCTTGGCTCACACCTGGCGTAATGCCAGCTGCTTCCTGGTCTGAATTATAAGCAGATAAGCAAATTAACAAGATATGCCCTCTTAACAAGTGAGTGCAAGGCATGGCTCCATAGTGTTCACCTGACAGAAGGAAGGGCAGCCCATTCCAAAGGTTTTTGATTTTTTTTTTTTTAATCCATCAACATCAAAACCTCAAGTGTAACCAATTCCAACCCTCCTCCTTAGAAGAGAGCAGCCGAGGGGGCTGCAATGGGTTAATTTCCTGCCCATAGACAGCACTGTTGTGTTCTGATCCCAGATGGCCACATCCTTGGTGCTTATGGCTTTTCTGCACATTGCCTGTGGCTGCTCAAAGCAGCCATTAGAAGAAAAAGCTACCTGAGGAGAGGCTGTGATGGCTAGCTGTGCTCCAGGTACCGGCACGTTCACCCGGACACAGGGGTACGCTGGGAAGCCCACTGAGACCTACCGGATCAGAGGCAGACAGCAGGCACCTCTGGATAAGAGCTTCAAAGGTCGTCTTCAGAATAAGGTGCTCTTCAGGGATAGGCTTCTTGGTAATCTTCTCTCTCGGCAGTGCCTGCACATGCTGAGAAACAGAGAGCAGGTGAGGCTTTTCCAGGTCACTGGGACCACGTTTTCAATGAAACCAACTGGCATTATCAGCCAGCTTGGCATAACTCCTGCTTCTTCCCTGTGGATGTGTGGAGGTGACATTATCAGCATCTGCTGTCACTTCCTCTGGAGAGCTGTGAAGTTGCAGAAGGAAGCAGGTTGTTGGTCCACACTGACTAAAGGGTTAACTGCAAAGAGGTGGTGTCTAGGTGGAGACTGCAGCAGCAAAATGCCACTATGGTGCTGTCCTGGGTTCAGCTGAGACAGAGTTAACTGTCTTCATAACACCTAGAAAGAGGCTGTGGTTTGGATTTGTGCTCAG